TGTTTTATTTATATTTTTAGAGATTATTTAAAATCAGTAAATATTTACTTGCGCATCATACTAATATTTTAGAAGTTTACAGAAGTAATGTGGAATAATAAATGTTTTACTACACATTTCTTTCTTCTCCAAAAATAAAACTCAACTTTCATCACAGTTTATTCATTGCTTGCTGCTTGTGAGAAGTATTTTGCTTTCTATTATAGCAACTTATGTGGAGATGGTAATTATATAATGTTACTGCTATTATTTAAGAAAACTGGAAGAAATAAAATTGTACTCTGAGTCATTATTCAGTACTTTCAAAAAGACAAGTTTAGACCAAATAGATCATTATTTAAAGTATCTTTTTAGGCTTAAAGTTAATTTTTAAATGACCACCACAATCTCCTCAAATGAACAATATTTGAAACACTTCAGTGGAGAAATACTGAGGAACAGTGGCTTTCCACTCATCAGGAGACTTAAACTAAAGCAAGCATGGATGTCTGCTCTCACTTTCTAATCTTGATCCTATTACCAAGAAGAAAGAAAAGTGTGGATGACTTGATTTCTTTTCAACACAAAAGTTACAGAGTTTTTTCTTTGTTTAATAAAATTGGGAATTAAAGGCTATTCATAGAATTGTGTATGTGTTTACAATAGAATTATAAAATGTCCCATGGTATCTCATTGTGTGCAGAGAAAATAAGGTGAACTGTGCCCAAGGAGAGCCCTGGGGAATGTCCTGTTCGCATAATCTCTCAGGGCCTCATCTTTCAAGAATCTTCTTACAAATAGACTCAGTTCGATATTAGTTCTCAAAAGAACAGAAGACTTAAAATCTATTGATAATATAATCAGAATAAGGTGGAATGGAGCCCACCAGGTGTCCAGTGAAGGCCCAGTTGCTAGGAAAGAGGACTGAAAGTCACCAGAATACAATATTAAATTCTAGATCTGCTACTTGAATCTCTGGATTTTGTCTTGCCGTTCTCAGTGTGACTTCCCCTCACCTGTCCTTCCTCATCAAAAGAACAAACACATCCCATGTGTCCAGGTAAGAAGGAGGAATATTCTGAAAAGAATAAGTCTTTTCAGAACCTTTTTGTTTTTCAATTTCTGTCATGGCGAAAAACTGTCGCTGTCACTGTTCTCCTGTTGTTAATTGCTTTGCTCAAGCGAGCCCAGTAACGGCTCCATTGTGAGACTTGTTACTGTTTTTGGCATATCGAATACCTCATGGGGAGCTTGCCAGGCTCTTCCATGCGGGCCGGATACTTTTGGTAGCTTGCTGGGCTCTCCGAGAAGGGTGGAGGAATCGAACCTGGGTCAGCCATGTAGACTGTGTACAAGACAAACATCCTACCCGCTGTGCTATCCTGCAATATACATGGGAGAGGAGATTTGCCCTTTCTTCTCTTTAGATTCCTTAGACCTATAAATATTACTACGAGAAACCTGGGCTGGAGTGATAGCACAGCAGGTAGGGCATTTGCCTTGCAGGTGGCCGACCCAGGCCGATCTGGGTTCAATTCCTCTGCCCTCTCAGAGAGCCTGGCAAGCTCCCTGTGGCGTGTTCGATATGTCAAAAACAGTAACAAGTTTCACAATGGAGCCGTTATTGGTGCCTGCTCGAGCAAATCCATGGACGACAGTGCTACAGTGCTACTAGGGACCTACTAATGGGGTTACATTGTGTGCCTAAGAGTAAAAGAAACAAAACAAATGTGACCTCTTCTATTAGCTATTACCTACCCTCTAATTATTTTGATTTTTGGCCCAAAGCAGGGATGCTTAGGACGTAGCCCTTGGTTCTGCTTCAGGAATCACACATGGTGGTACTTAGGAAACCGCATGTGGTGCTGGAGCTTAAACCCTGGGCAGTCACATGCAAGGCAAACATCTTACCTGCTGTTCAGGCCCAATAGCTACTTTTTCAGCAACAAAACTTTTCAGTATTCTGAAATTTTATTCTGTTATTGAAGATATTTGCTCACTTTTTATTTTCCCCACACTTTTTTTTATTAATGATTCTCACATAAATCACAGAACACTGCCAGGATACAGTGCAGATTCTTGCCTTTTTCTACCCATTACTGGAAAATGGGAAGTAGCATGAGCTTACAGATGACTAACATGGGTGTGTAGGTACCTTCTGCCCCAGTATGCTACTAGTCAGGTTGCTGCAACCTTGTAGAAATATACTTTGGGGTTCTGAATGAGAACGAGAAGAGGATTGATTGTTGAGGACCTGTTCCTATTTATACTGGAACAACTACAGTCTCAACCATATCAGTAGTCCAAATAACCATAGCTATTATGAAATACAATCATCAATAAGCATAAAACAGTACATGTGAAAATGAACCTTTCACTGCTGTGTTTCATAATGAAGGAGTAAAAATGCATATAAAATTATACAGAGGGAACATAAAGGTAGTACCAGGGCTAAGGCATATGCTGATTCCGCTTTGATCCCTGGGTACCACATAGTCCCCTAAGCATTGCAGGATGCTGTTCTGGAGTCCTCTGAGTCCCACCTGCTGTGGCCCTGGAGGCCTCGGGAACACATCAGTTATGGCTTTGGTAATTCTTGTCACTGTAACTCCAGACTCTGAGGCTCTAGTGTTGGTTGAAATGCAGGCTCAGTTGTCTGGGACCTCCAGGCCTTCAGGCCTTTTTGAGAATCTCTGACCAAAAATGTCACTGGAAAATTGTATCAGTAGTTTGTTATTCTAAGTTGTTAAGAACTTTTCTTAGAAAATTTTATTTTAAAATATTTCTATATTGGTCCACATGAAGGAATTTATTTTCTAATATAAACCAGTACACACTTAATGGGCTGGAGCGATAACACAGTGGGTAGGGCGTTTGCCTTACACGTGGCTGACTGGGCCAACCCATGTTCGATTCCTCCTCCTCTCTCGGAGAGCCCAGCATGCTACTGAGAGTATTTCGCCTGCACGGCAAAGCCTGGCAAACTACTTGTGACGTATCTGATATGCCAAACACAGTAACAGTAAGTCTCACAATGGAGACGCTACTGGGCCTGCTCAAGCAAATTGATGAACAACAGGAGGACAGTGCTACAGTGCCACAGTGCTGCACACTTAATAATGAGAACACATACACACTTAAGTTTGACTGAAACACATTTTCTGAATTGTATATTTATATTATTACTGAAGATTTTAATTTCGGAGCTGTGAGATATATTCCTGGGACCACAGGGTCCTCCAAGGATTGTCTGATGCAGATCTGAGACTCCAGGGCACTAATAGGTATGGCTCTGGAGATCCCTGGTGCCACTCCAGGGCCCAGGGATCTTGGGAACTATAAGGTTTTTTCTCTCAGCAGCTCATCTCTGCTCCTTTATTTGAACCAAAAACCAGTCTGAATGAGAATCACCAGTGTGCCCCCTGGGTTTTATAACCACTGCCTGCAGAATACCTATAAATGAAGGTTCTTTTTATTTCAGTTTTTTACAGTTGTTGGCACTAATTAATCAATTCATATTCTACTATGGTGTTATAAATCACAATGTCAGGAGAACCAATGAATTAAGCAAGCAAGTTGTTGATGCCTGAGGGTTTTTTCTTGATCTTTTGTGTATTCTATTTCACACTATCAAAAAAGTTATTTCTTTGATTGTGTTTACAGAATAAACTTTGATTAACAATCCTGCATAGTCAGTGGATCATCTCTTCAGAAGGAAACAATACAATACAATCTAGAAAGAAATTCAGAAATAGAAATCCCATTATCACCCAGTTGCTTTTGCTTTTTCTTTTCTTAAAAGCAGTGACAGGGATCAAATCTAGAAATTCATATATGCAAGGTCAATGCTCTGACAGGTTGAGTCAAACCTGGTCTCCCCTAACCTTGAAATCAAGTCATCCTTGGTATCTTATGAGCCATCGAACAAACCATAAAGTATTTTACAAGATTTTTCCTATACTTCCTCCACCATATGCAGTCTTTCTGGAAAAACAAACCATAATGGGTTTAGAAAATATCAGGACTATGGATTGCAATAACCTAAAATGGTTTCTTAAATTCCCTTGCTACCAGGATGAGAAAGGATTCCTTAAAAGCACAAAAGAAATGTGAAAAACAATAAACTGACTGGTAAGTAAAAAAAGAAAGAAGGAAAAGAAAGAAATGTAAGTTTTCTACTGATGTTAAAATCCTTTTATTTTGGGGGGACTGGAGAGATAGCACAGCGGGTAGGGCATTCGCCTTGCAAGCAGCCAAACCCAGGTTCGATTCCCAGTATCCCATATGGTTCCCTGAGCACGACCAGGAGTAATTCCTGAGTAACCCCTGTGCATCGCTGGGTGTGACCCAAAAAGAAAAAAAAAATCCTTTCACTTTTTCTGGTCTCTATAATCTGTTAATCTGAAATGTAAACATTCTATTGAAGTTAGAATCCTTTTATTTTTTCAGATCCCTATAATCTGTTAAAAAATTCGTTTTTTTGGATCAGACATATCATGTACTTTTCTATATGACACATCTAAATAATAACGTATAGGGGCTGGAGCAATAGCATAGCGACTAAGGCATTTACCGTGCATGCAGGCCGACCTGGGTTCGATTCCCAGCATCCCATATGGTCCCCTGAGCACCGAGCACTGACAGGAGTGATTCCTGAGCGCAGATACAGGAGTAACCCCTGAGCATCACTGGGTGTGACCCAAAAAGCATAAATAAATAAATATATAAATAAATAAATATTAACATAAAATCTTTGATCTACTGCTATATTGTTGATAGTGTCTTGACACTAAAGTTTCAAAAAAAAGCACATTCCAGATTTTTCTAAACTGCAAATTAAATGATTTCAGCAAGAACACAAAGACGTAGTCTTCAGAAAATTGTGGGTTTACGTTTTCAGGATTTGTAAAAATATTTTTCAGTTGTTCCAGTGAAGTCTTTACTTTCAGGGTGTGATACTTCATCAAAGTCAAGTAATGAGTTCTCTACTTAGGCTGATGCATCAAGGATAATAAACACCAATGGGCGCAGAAAACCAAACGTACCTGACTGAATTCATTTTGCTGGGACTTTCTTCAGATCAGCACACCCAAGTCCTGTTGTTTGTGCTATTTCTTATCGTCTACCTACTGACTATGTTTGGAAATCTGCTCATCATCGTGCTACTTCACTTTGACTCTCGACTTCATATACCAATGTACTTTTTTCTTAAAAACCTGTCGTTTGTCGATCTCTGTTTCTCTACAGTGATTGTCCCCCAGATGTTATTTCATTTGCTGTCAATGAGAAAAAGTATTACCTTTATTAGATGTTCAACTCAGATGTTTTTTTTTCTTTTAATTGGGTGTACAGAAAGTTCTCTTTTAGCAGTGATGTCCTATGACCGCTATGTAGCTGTCTGCAAACCTTTGCACTATTCTACCCTCATGAACCAGAGAATTTGTGTCCATTTAGTACTAGGATCCTGGGCTTGTGGAGCACTTGTGTCTCTAGTGGATACGGCATTTACTTTATGTGTCCCATACCGGGACCAGAATGTAATTAATCATTATTTTTGTGAGCCTCCTGCACTCTTGAAGTTGGCTTCAGAGGAAACCTACAAAGCTGAGATGGCCATCTTTGCAATGGGTGTGCTAATTCTCCTTGGACCTGTCTCCCTCATCCTCTTCTCCTATTGGAATGTTATCTCCACAGTAGTGCTGATGAAGTCAGGGGGTAGGCTCAAAGTCTTTTCTACCTGTGGTACACATCTCATCGTTGTTGTCTTAATCTATGGGTCAACAATATATACCTACATGCAGCCTAATACGAAGAAAAAAAATAAATGGGATAAAATGGTCTCTGTGTTCTATTCAGTCATAACCTCTATGCTAAATCCATTCATTTACAGCCTGAGGAACAAAGATGTAAAGGAAGCATTTAGGAAGGTATTTGGAAGATAGGGATCTCAGAAAGAGAATCTTTAAACTGATGTAAAGGCAGGAACATGCATGACTTCTATAGTATTAAACACTAATAACATCTCCAATATCAGTCACAGATATCAATAAAGTCATACTGACTCCCCTGTATCTTAAAAACATTTTCAGGTTTGTGCAATGTTACCTGTTCAAGTTTAATGTTTGTTTTGTAATTTACCTACCATGTAACAATCTTAGTATAATATATAAATAGACTTATGTTTCGGGTTCATTTTTTAATGCCTTTTATTTTTTTCAGTAAAATTGTGAGTATAACATTGTTTTTAAGCCCTATGTCCCACATATTACATTTCCTTATTCATTTACAATGTTTTTTATACTTTGAAGTTGGCCTATATAGTTTTCTAGTATCTAATATATAACAAATTATTTAGTCAAACCTCACTTCCTAAGTACTTCATGGTATTTTGAAAGCATTCTGGGGACTTTCAGTATATTCAAATAAAAGAAATTTGGATTTGTGTTTATCCAAAGAAAATAAATATTACATGAAAAACAACTGGGAATTTTAAATACTCTTCCTGGTCTCCTGAACAGCACCAGAAGTAATCCCTGAGCACAGAACCAGGAGTAAACCCTAAGTACTGCTGGGTATGGCCCAAAAAATAAAACCAAAAGCTACAAGAAATTAAACATAAAGTGTTCTGGGTTTTATTTTTCCAGGGGCTATGGGGCATGAGGAGTAATCTGTGCTCAGGGCTTACTCCTGGTTCTGTACTCAAGGATCATATATTCCTGGTGATGTTTATTGAACAATGGAGATGCCAGGGTGGTGCTCCCTGAATATGGCAGGAGCTGAAACAAGGTTGGCTGTGTGCAAGGCAAGGTTCTAAACCCCTGTATATATCTGACCTGTCTGATTTTAAAAAGTATGTTTATTATACTATCATGATTTTCAAGTTTTTTATAGTACAGTTGTTTCAGTCATTCAATGTCCCAACATCAACTTCACCATCAGTGTGACTTTCTTCCACTGATATCCCTAGTTTCCCCCCCTCCCCCAGTCTACCCCCTTAGCAACACAAGTAAATTTACTTCATACCGCTTGGTACAGCACAAAAGCAAATGGAATTATCAAAAACTAAATTAATAAGTCAGTTTTTTATAATTGCCATTATATCTCACAATGGTGTTATTAAAGTCATTGTTTGAAGATTTACTTCCTTGCTTGATGCCAGTTGAGCTTCTGTGTTATTGTTCTCACTCATTGAACTTGGTGGTCTTCTACACATTTTTTCATCAGATTTGCTGTGGCTCAAACATGATAACCTCTCAGTGTCTGTATTGCAAACCATAATGCCCAAAAGTAGAGAGAGATTATGTGGAATAATGTCTGCCATGGAGGCAGAGGGAGGGTGGGAAAGGGGGATATACCAGGAATATTGGTAGTGCGGAATGTGCACTGGTGGAGGGATGGGAGTTTGATCATTCTGTGATTGTAACCCAAATATGAAATCTTTTAACTATCTCACGATGATTCAATAAAATTTTTTAAAAAAGTGATCCCAGAGAGACGAGACAGATGGAAGCCCTGGGCACTGTTGGATGTGACCCAAAAACCAAACAAAATCACCACCAACAAAAAACCTCAGCCTGGTCTGACGGTCTCAAATGCTGTGCTCAGTGGGTGGGTGCTGTGACCAAGCAAATGGATAGAGTGCTAGACTAGAGCTACTGCTTCCAGGCTGGTGCAATTTCTCTGGGTTCTTGAGTATGCAAAATTAAGTAGTTCTTTATTTTGTATGCAAAATTAGCCAACAAAACTCAAAAAAAAGATTTGCTATGGTCCTACTGGTGCACAAATGGTCCTCCAAATGAAATTTGGAGGTATAAAGAAGCTGTAACGCTGGAATAATTTGGTGGTTTGGCAGCTTGATGAGGTTTAACTGTGGAGGTGGGTCATATCTATGTTGGAGAGGAGAATGTCAGGTGTGCAGTTGTAAGCTTCACTGGTATGTCTGGTGAGATTTAGTAGCATCATGTTCTTTCAGAGATTATTGCTTGTAGGTTTTGACCAGCAATTGTTTTCATTTCCTTATCATGTGAGCCTCTTCCATGTGACAGGTTGTATCACAAAAATATGCATACTGAGAAGACCACAGAAAGAACTACCAGCAAGACAAAAGTAATAACACCTAAACTTTCTTATACTTTAAAGATTTTAGGTAAAATAAAATAGTTAAAATTTTCATAGTTTCAAGATAAGAAGAATAAGTAGTTGTCTGGTACAAGTCCTGTAGAAAAAACTTATGAAAGGTTTTCTGTAAACTTAGAATTGAATTTTCCTATGATGCAGCAATTCCACTTTTAGGCTTCTAGCCCCAGGACGCAAAACACTATTTAAAAAGGACATACGCACTCCATTCTTCATTGTTGCATTTAGTGCAATAGCTAAGGTTTTGTTTTTTGTTTGTTTGTTTTAATTTATTTTTTTATTAGTGAAACACCATGAGGTACAGTTGTAGACTTACAGATTTTTGTGCTTGGGTTTCAGTTATACAATGATTGAGTATCCATCCCTCCAGCAGTGCCCATTGCCCACCTCCAATGCTCTCGGAATCCCTCCCACCCCTCCACCCCCCATCCCACCCAACCAACGTGGCAGGGCATTCCCCTTTTTTAATTTTTGTTAGTGAAACACCATGAAGTACAGTTGTAGACTTACAAATTTTTGTGCTTGGGTTTCAGTTATACAGTGATCGAGTACCCATCCCTCCACCAGTGCTCATTATCCACCACCACTAATCACAGTATCCCTCCCAACCACCATCCCCCATCCCACCCTGCCTCTATGGCAGGGCACTCCCTTTTGTTCTTGTTGATCTATTCGGAGGTGACAAGGTGATGTTGAAATTTCCAGCTACTTTTGTGTTGCTAGCAGTGTCCTCCTTAAAATCTGTTAGCAGTTGTTTTAAATATTTAGTTCTTCCCTCATTACGTGCATATACAATTAAGAGTGTGATTCCTTCCTGTTGTACTTATCCCTTGATGAAGAGAAAATAGCCTTCGCTGTCCCTTCTAATCTATTTCAACTTGAAATTAATGTTGTTGGATACTAGTATGGCCACTCCATCTTTTTTGAGGGAGCTGTTTGCTTGCAGGATTGTTTTCCATCCTTTAACTTTGAGTCTGTGTTTGCTCTGACAGTTCAGATGAGTGTTGTTCAGCAGAATGTTGGATTCTGTCTCTGAATCCATTTTGCCACTCTGTGTGTCTTAATTGGTGAATTTAGCCTGTTGACATTGAGAGAGATTATTGTTATGGGGTTTTGTGTCATCTTTCTGTAAGGGTGTGTTGTGCTTGTAGGGTTTGTCTTGTCTTATAGTAGCCCCTTTAGTACTTCTTTTAGGTTTGGTTTTGAGTCTATGAAGTGCCTGAGCTGCTGTTTATCTAGAAAAATAGTGTACCATTCCTTCGATTATGAGTGAGAGTTTAGCCGGATATAGTATTCTTGGTGAAGCATTCATTTCAGTGAGTTTTTTCACTATATCCCACCATTGCTTTCAGGCTTGGAGGGTTTCCTCTGATAGGTCTGCTCTGAATCTAAGGGGTGCTCCTTTGTATGTGATTTCCTTCTTTGACCTTGCTGCTTGCAATATTGTGTCTCTATCGGCTGCATTGATCACTTCAACTATGATATGTCTTGGAGTGTTTTTGTTAGGGTCTCTTTTAGCTGACACCCTTCGGGCTCCTTGAACCTGAATGGCTGTATTGTCGAGTTCTGGGAAATTTTCAGCAATGATTTGTTTAACCGTGGCTTTTTCATTGGGATTGTTTCCCTGAGCTTCTGGTACTCCAATGATTCTAATGCTGTTCCTCTTGGAATCATCTCCTAGGACTCTGATTCACTCTAGAGCTATTTTGAGGTCCCTTGCCATTGTTTGTTGTTGCCTCTTGGCTTGGTGCAGTTGATCTTCCAGCTCACTGATTCTGTCTTCAGCTGTGGTCATTCTACTCTTGAGGGCACAGACTGAGTTCTTTATTTCATCTACAGAGTCTTTTATTAGTGATATTTCTGCACTTATTTCTTCCTGTAATTTGTTGATTTTTTCTGTCATGTTACTGGATATCTGTCTGACTGTTTCATTGAATTCATTGAACATCTTCATGACTTCATATCTGAATTCTTGGTCAGAGAGGATCCTTAAGTGAGTAGCAACTACGAAGTCTTCTGGACTCTTTTCTTCGTCCTCCCCACGTAGTGGGGATTTGCATTGTTTCTTCATGTTGCTGTGTAGGTATGGGGACTAGATTTCTTGGCATGACTAAACCACCAGGGGCTGCCGAAATTTAGGCCACGCCCACTTCTACCAGACCCATGCCCACCTCTGAAGAATCCATGCCCCCACGGGAACCTGGTTTTGGGGGGGGGGGGGCAAGTAAAGGCTGGGTGGGGAAGAAGACCATCACAGTTTTGCGAATGAAGAGGAAGAGGCAGAGACTCAGGGCTGCATTGTACCAGGCTCTGAGAGGACACCTGGGGCTCTTGCAATGAGAAAGCCAAGTCTTGGGTTCAAATACAGGCGGATAAACTGACTTGGGTGGGGAAGAAGACCAGCACAGCTTTGGGGACGAAGAGCAAGAGGGCATTCCCTTTTGTTCTCTCTCTCCTTTTGGGTGCTGTGGTTTGCAAAAGAGGCATTGAGTGGCAATCATGTTTGGTCTATAGTCTACTTTCAGCATGAATATCTCATCGTGGGAGGATCCTTTCAACACCCTTTATTTGGTACTCCCTTCTCTATCTGAGTTGCCTTCTCCCCCAGCATGTGCGGCTGGCCTCCAAGCCATGGAGTGAACCTCCTGGTACTTATCTCGGCTATTCTTGGGTGTTAGTCTCCCAATTTGTTACTTTATGTTCCCCTGATGAATGCAATCTTTCTATGTCTGTCCCTCTCTTTCTGACTCATTTCACTTAGAATGATACTTTCCATGTAGTACCACTTGGATGTAAATTTCATGAC